AGAGAGAGAGAGAGATCAGGACATTTGCAGGAAAATTGATGGGAAGTGCAAGTTATTATCTCAAGCAACGAACCCCAGACTCAGAAACACAAATACCACATGGCTTTTCTCAGAGCAGACAAGCTCTAGACATGTGCATACATGTACGAGCAGGAATAGGCCATGAGACTTGTGGGGGAAAGATGACCTCAGGGAGAGTTTTAATAAGGATAATGGAGAGTAATGAAATCCATGTGACATGAAGGCAAGAGGGGGTGGGAGTAGAAGGGAGCCAAGGGAAGTGGGGGCAGGAAACTAAGGGGCAACAAAAGCAGCTATGAAAACTCTATAGCGAAACCCATTGTTTATGTCCTAATTTTTAAAATAATGAGAATGCCGATGGCCTGAGTTCTAAGCAGCTGTAACCCCTAGATGAAGAGAAAGAGGTGGGGTTCATCCTTAGGGCTCTGTCAAACATGGTCTTTCAAACTCCATGGCTGGGTACCCAAGTACTTACTGTCCTGCTCACTACACTGATTCTGGATACACCAGTGCCCTGTCCAGGCCCTAGGGAAATTAAATTCAAATATGGGTTCAACTTCTCAGAGAAGGGGAGGCTCCGCCTCCAGGACATAACATTTCAGCGTAGCCGGTCTCCATCCGCCGTCAGGAACACCATGGAAGCCCAAGGGATGCGCCTTGCCCTGCGGCTCCTCACATTTTCCCTGCTCATGCAGATGATTTCTAGTGATTTACATTTTAAAGGACTCAGAAAACAACTGTGTGAAAGTGGGCATCTTGGAGGTAAGCAAAAATGAACATTTGAACTGGAGGAAGTGAAGGAGAAAGAAATCCAGGTAATCCGGATGGTATTGCTGATGACCAGCCAAACCCTCCTCTGACATCAAACTCCAGGGGTCTAGGCCTTCGGATTATGTTGAGTTCCCGCTAGAGGTTGGAGAAAGAGGAAGACAGAAAAATAAAACCAATTCAAGTCTCTCCCAGAGAGTTTCAGTGACAAAAAAAAAGATTGAGAATCATAAAAATTGAATTAATATTAGGGTATCTGAGAAATTCTCCCTCTCTCTCTCTCTCTGTGTGTGTGTGTGTGTGTGTATGTGTGTGTGTCTGTGTGTGTCTGTGAGTGTCTGTGTGTGTGGTATGAGTTTCGTTTCTGTTCAATACATCTTCATAGAACCACTGTGTTAAATTCCTTGAATTCAGAGGGGCCAAGACCATCATCAGCACTCCCATGCCACGTATTTAATTTGCTTTTCATTTGAATTCTGATGGGCACTTTGGGAAAGTCAGAGCAGAGACAGGGAATTCCCAGTGGTGGAAAGGACTGTAACTGGACTTCATTAAGAGCAACACTAACTTTCTTTGTCTCCAACATGGTCACCATGGCGCCTGCTGGAATCTACTTCTACACTATCAGGGAAAACCGGTGAGTCTAGGTGGGTGACCGAAGGGAGACAGGGTGAGAGAGGACACTAGAGACCTGGAGGAGGGGAGGGTCTGCCGGACTTGGCAGCAGAAACCAAGCCTTCGGGAGTAGAGATGCCAGGTGGAAAGACTTTTTAACATCTATGTTTGTGTGCTCGGGTGATGAGCGGGAAGGGACTAAAGGAAGGGTTCCGAATGATGAGTGCCAACAGACACCAAGTGAGATGTTCACTTCCAGAACCAAGGAAGTATGTCGAGATTCGGGAAGCGGGATGCTTAAAGTGAATAAGGAATACTAGGGAAGGTGGAGGGTGTGGTCCTTTTCCAAGTATCCTCTATCACGCCGGCCCAGGCTCCAGACAGCTCAGGCTTACTGTCCTGTATCACATAGAGAGCATGCTCAAGGCATTATAACTTGCTACCCAGTGATAAAATCAGATTTATAAGGCGGGGTTGGGGCGGGGGGAGCTTTCGTAGTCCATAAAGAAAAGAGTGATGATTCTTTTAGTAAGAGGCTCTGAACCTGGGCTTCTTATCGACAGCAATATGCAACCACCCTGTCAAGAAGGGAACCTGTAACTTGGCTGTGTTCAGATACTACTTCAACAAGATAACATCCTTATGTGAGCCTTTCGTCTTCTCTGGCTGTGGGGGCAACAGGAACAACTTTAAAAGTAAATACCTCTGCGAGTTCTACTGCGTTTTTAAACAGGTAAGCCCCTGGGGCCTCACCCCACCATTAATGATGCTGGATGGCTGGGATCACAGTTTTACAAGCGACACTTAAAAAGAAACAAGGGGAAGCCGGGCGGTAGTGGCGCACGCCTTTAATCCCAGTACTCCTGGGAGGCACAGGCAGGTGGGTCTCTGTGAGTTCGAGGCCAGCCTGGTCTACAGAGTGAGATCCAGGACAGGCTCCAAAGCTACACAGAGAAACCCTGTCTCGAAAAACCGAATAATTGAGGGAAAATGAGCAAGGACCCAAGCAATTCCTTCCAGATGCAAACAAGTCGGTGTTAAATGCCAGTGCCCGGTATTGTTTTCCAGCTGAAAAGCCCAGCCGGCCATGGTGGCTCACTTGTGTAATCCAACGTTCAGGAATCTGAGGCAGGAAGATCATCAATAGTTTGACACTAGCCTGGGCTATGGAGTGAGTTCCAAGTCAACTTGGGTTACATTTTTTAAAAAATCGTAAAACTAGAAAGAGAAGGTAAGGGATGAATCTGGGAGGAATTGGAGGAGGGGACAAATAGCATTAAAACATGTTATATGAAACTCTCAAAGAGCTAGTAAAAAGTTTTTTTTAATAAAGAGGTCAGGGAAAAAAAAAAGAAATTTAAAGCCCAAAGCAGCTGATACCTTGCTTTTCACTTGGAAGGACATGGATGCAGAGGTCCCAACTCTCCACCCAGCATCTCACTACTGTGGCAATGAATGGCCTGGGTCTTTGAGACGCTCATAGGTTGTTATTTGGTGGTTGTTAAAAAAAAAAAAAAAAAAAAAAAGCTAAGGGACTGTCAGGGGGATAAGAAGACCCCAGTCACAGTACAATGCCTGTCATGACTGTCTAAACAGAGAGCTCACACTCCAAAGCAGAGGGGCTGGTTGACCAATCTGTATATTCCCACAACCCAGCATTACACCTGTTTATGGATTGTTTCTAGATAGAACATTAGCAATAGACAGCTATGGAATTTGGGTGATACCTTAAGAACCACTTGAATGGGTCCTTTTAGCTATACTGATGATGATAATAATCACAAATTTTATTTATTAACAGAAGGACTAATCCAAAACCAGCCAGTCAATCAGTAGGCAAAAGCAAACAGAGGATGAGAAAAACGATGCTGAAACCGTGCCGAGTGAATAAAGTTGAAATCTCTGACAACATTTAGAATTCAAAACTCTTGTTCATTTCCTTGCCTAGTCAATCCTCCCCACTTGTTAGCTGTATACAATTTTAATTGAGTATTTCCTGAACTTCAGCCACATTATGAATTCATGTATCACTTCTATCCAAGATGCTTCTGATATAAACTATATATGACCCCCTACAGGCACCAGCCCACTTCCTTTCATGAGTCAATCACTGTGGCATCCTTTTTCTTTGCTCTCCAGCTGACTTTGTTTCTGAATTTCATTGCGGGTCAAAATAATTGTCATCCAGTTCTCGAATACTCCACAAATCAACTGGCCATCCACCTTCAAGCATGTTCATGTTCTAGGGAAGCGTCTGTGGTGTTAGGATCCTGCTAGGGGTCTTTTGTCTTACATCTTCAGGGGGTGCTGGTGACTACTTATGCACCTTAAAAAAGCCGGATGCAGACCCCACATGCTCTCTCTGCTCTTTCTCTGTTCCCTGCTCTGCTCTGCTCCCCCACCACCACCATCTTTCTCTCTCTCCAGGCCTGGCTCTCCTCTCTCCTATCCCCTCCTTCCTCCCAATAAAGCTCTCTGTAACTCTGGTAGTCGTGGCCATGGCTCATGACTTTTCCGCTAGTAACCACCACCACCACCAGCACCACCACCAGCACCACCACCAGCACCACCACCAGCACCACCACCAGCACCACCACCAGCACCACCGTTTATCTTTCCTCTGGCATCCCAGTGGCACTATAGAAGTCACAACATTGCAGCTGAGAGCTCCAAGTCTTGAGCTGTCACGGTATGGAGGGCCACTAACCTCTGCTCTGATTATTTAAATTCTTGTCAACAATGGGGCCTCACAAAGGAATCTATACATGAACCAGTACCCTAGTGCCCATAATGAAGAGCTATGCTCCCAAATGAGTCAGCTTCCAGTGATTCCAGCTCAGTCTGAATGCCAGCAACCACAGGCCCTATAAGGGTGCACCTTTGGGAAACCCTTGAGAAGTGGCAGAAACCATAGATTAGAGCCTTAGCACTCACTCCATCTCCCAAGGGACCACTACACACAGGGGTGGTGCGGGCAAAGGAAACAAGAAGGTTCTAGTAGCCTCTAAGAACTGGGTCCAAATCTCTAAGACCAGTATCCCAAACCATGCTGTGTTCAAATAAAATTTTGTTCTCAGCCCTGACACCATAGAGTTGATTTACCTGGTACCCATTTATGGGATTGTGGAACGTTTTTCTCTCTCTGATCATACTAAGATTATACTAAACAAGGCTCATAGAGACTGAGTGATATTCACAGACCCTGTATGGGTCTGAGCTAGGTCCTCTGCATATTATATTATAGTTTTGTAACATGGTGTTCTTGTGACTCCTAACGGCAAGGGAGGGAGTGTCTCTGACTTTTCCCTGCTCTTGGGACCCTTTTCCTCCTACTGGGTTGCCTCATCCAGCCTTGATATGAGGGGCTTGTGCCTAATCTTATTGTAATTTGTTATGCCATGTCCATGTTTGGTTGATATCCCTGGGAGGCACCATCTTGGCTAAGGTCAAAACAGATAGGTCATACGACCTCACCGCCATCTTTACTAAGGGCAGCATGGGCGGTAGTGGGAGACTCAGCGGGGGGCCTTCCCACTTCGGAGAAGTAGTGGGCGGTATTGTTAAGCAGGCAGTATCACTGCTGCAGTTCATTCCTCTGCTGCAGCTAATGTGGGTGGGGCTCAGAGAGGTAGCAGGGAGTTCAAGTATGAGTCTGCTGCTGCTTTTCAGATGTCCCATCCCTACTCCAGTTCAGGAGACTTTCTCACCCATCTATTTCTGAGGATGGCATTTTATACCGGGGGGGGGGGGCGGCAGGGGGACCCCAGAGGGTACCCCACGAGCACAGGGATACATGCTGGTTTGCTGGTTAGTGAGAGAGGGAGACAGAGCGGGGTTGTAAGGGAGAGAGAGAGGGGAGTCCAAGGGTGTGAAGCAGAAGGGGAAAGAGAGAAATGGGTGGAGTTTTCCCTTAAGAATAGGCTTCTACGTCAGGGCACAGGGTGGCGCCAAGGGGCAGGGTCAGAATATTAACAGCTTCCCAGAAGATTTCACCTCAGTGATGCTGGTCTTGGCTTAATCAACACTTGATTTCTTAGCTCCAGCCCACCAGGAATATCAAGTATCCCAGTGCTACAAGCTGCAAAAATATACAAAGCAGGATTTCAGCTGATTATGACAAAGCTAATACCTGGAAGAAGCCAAGGGCCTTCCAGAGGTCAAGCTGAGGCTCAAGGAGCCTTGGTGATATTTGGCTTTTGATTATCAGCTGTTTCCTGCTATGAGTTTCTTGTGTGCTATTGTAGCTTTTCCATCATTGATTGGGCACCATTTCCCCTCTACTAAAGGAATATTTAGATAACCTTGTGCGCTGATAGCTATGCACAGCCAGAACCCCAGTTCAAGCCTCTCTGTAATTATCAGCAGCAGCAGCATCCGGTCAGGTCCATCCCCAGACGGAGGAAAGTACCTTATCAGAGATACCTCTGTACTCTCTAAGAACAGACTTAAGCATCCAGGCTACCTGTTTGAGAAGGTCTGGTGGATGTGCCAATTTAGCTTAACTTCCTCCTTTCCCAAATCTTACCTCTAGTTCCAGATCTCCCTTTAACTATCACCAGAGGCATCTAGCTGTACACAGGTTGCCTAGCGACCGAGCACACCTTCCCCCACCCTGCAGAAAAATGGCAAATAGCTTGGACAGATAGGAGCCACAGGAAAAAAGGCAGTTTTATTTTCTCCCATTGACCTAGCAACTTATAGAGTCTGAATATTTTCTACCAATCACACTTAAGACTATAATTGAGCATATAAGGTCCCTCTTCTTAGATATTACCTGAATTTAGACTTTAGTTAATTCATTTCCCATTAGTCACTTCCCTTTTGGGTTGCAAATGATAATTAACAATTACTGTCCCTCTATGTGATTCTTATCACCCCTCCGTTTGACCCTGGAAGCCTGGCTTTGCACTGCCAAGGGATTATTGCCTGTAAGTGTATATATACCGGGACTTCCAGGGCACGGAGGAAGAGGAAGAAGATTTGGGAGAATAAATGACTAGACTAAGAGCTCGGTGTGCTGAGACTCTATTTCCCGAAAACAGTCCTCACCGCTTGTAGTTCTCTCTCCTGAGCCCCTGGGATGTATAATATTAAGGCTGGTCCCTCTAATATTATATAAGATCCCAGCAAAGCAAAATTTTGCTTTAGTAGTTCTGGTATCTTGTTAATCACAGCTGATTCTTCAGCCCCAGCTAACCAAAACCACAGAAATTTTTGTTTGTTTGTTTGTTTGTTTGTTTTTCAAGACAGGGTTTCTCTGTGTAGTTTTGGTGCCTGTCCTGGATCTCACTATGTAGACCAGGCTGGCCTCGAACTCACAGAGATCCACCTGCCTCTGCCTCCCAAGTACTGGGATTAAAGGTATGCACCACCACGGCCTGGCTGAACCACAGAATCTTAACTCAAAATAACAAATGGCCCTGACAGTCTTTAAAATCCCCTCTGAAACTTCACAAGTCAGGCCTCCATCCTCTGCACTGCTCTCAATATTCTTATCTTCCAAGTTCCCACAGAATATTCCACTGAGCTCTTAGCACTCAATGGCTCTTCTAGCCCAAAGTTCCAAAGTCCTTCCACAATCCTCCCCAAAATATGGTCAGGTCTGTTACAGCAATACCCTGCTATCTTGATACCAACTTGTCTTAGTTAGGGTTTCAATTACTGTGAAGAAATGATGAATTACGATGATCAAAAAGCAGGTTGGGGAGGAAAGGATTTATTTAACTTGAACATTGCTGTTCATCACTAAAGAAAGTCAGGACAGGAACTCAAACAGGGCAGGATCCTAGAGGCAAGAACTGACACAGAGGCCATGGAGGGGTGCTGCTTACTGGCCTGCTTCCCATAGCTTGCTCAGTGTGATGGAATTCCTAGCCACTCCCCGACGACCACACATGCACTGGCAAGATGATTAGTCACCCCAGGGCCTTACATCCTAGGTAATCAGTGCAATGCATGATCACATAATCTATGTGCATGTGCAGGGGAATCCATAAAAGTGGGTCCCACATACCGCTTCCCCTTTCTTCCTGCACAATCATTCCCCATAGGCCTAAGCACCTACTTCTGTTCCCTTCCCCTAATAAACTCTTATGGTGGGTTTTGTTGTACCTTGTGGCTTTTCTTGCAAGGTAAACAGCGCCACTTAATAAACAGCACAGCGTGCTTTCTTACAGAACTCAGAACCACCAGTTCAGGGGTGGCACCACCTACCATTGCCTGGGCCGTTCCCCATTGATCACAAATTGAGAAAATGCCTTACAGCTGGATCTCATGGAGGCATTTCCTCAACTGAGGCTCCTTCCTGTAGCGTGAATTCTAATTGGTCTTAATAATAAAAACCCGGAGTCAGATATCAGGGTAGATGCTGAAAGATCAGAAAGGCAAGGAAGCAAGTCACAGCCACACTTCTTACCTCACCAACTCCTCAGCCAGAAAAAGAGCTGACCCCTGTCTCCATCCAGCATGATCACTTCCTCTCTCCACCCAGCCATACCCCTCCCTGTCTCCACCTCCCTAGTGCTGGAATCAAAGGTGTGAGATCCAAGTGCTGGAATCAAAGCTGTGTGCCACCACTGCCTGGCTCTACTTCTCTTTTAGACTGGATCAATCTTGTGTAGCCCAGGGTGGCCTTGAACTCCTGATCTTCCTGCTTCTTCCTCCCAAGTGCTGGGATTAAAGGTGTGTGTGCCACCACTGCCTGGCTTCTGTGGTTGTCTAGTGGCTAGCTCTGCACTCTGGTCTTCAGTCAAGCTTTATTTGTTAGAGCACAAACAAAATATCACCACACCTTCCTTTCTGATAATTCTAGCTTGTGACAAGTTGACACACAAAACCAGCCAGGACAGGCCACAGGTGTGGTTAAATGTCACATAACACACAGG